GTTCAGTTGGGGGGGGGGGCGGGGGGCCTAAAAGGATTTATAACATACCTTGTTAACTCCCTGACATTGAACTTCCAGTGTGTCTCCGGCTCCAGGAAAATAACCTGATACGAGTTCTCAAGTGCCTGAAGACCAAAGAGGACATGATCAATATTAGATTTTAAGTGCAACTTTAGCTTAAAATTGTTTGTTTTTCTTTATTGTCCATTGAGGGACACAGGATAGAATCATTCTTAACATGTGGGTTATACTGCCACTTGCAGGAGGTTGTGGACAAAAAAATGTCAAGACAGACCCCATATAACCCAGCCTCCAACTTTCTTGCCTCTGTTTTTTGCTAGTGCGCGAGGAGGAGAACCAATTCTGAGACTACACAGTCTCTAAGAACTCAGGCAGTGAGTAAGGCCGATCGGACTGAAGCACTGGGAGCTACCTCACAGTTGACAACGTTTTACATTTTCCCACCATCCCCATCTTGGAGCGGTGACTATTAAGGCTGAGGGCACTAAGCGCTGACATCATACATGAGGTGGAGTGTTGCACACATGCGCTCAGTGTTCTTGTGCCTTTCAGCCTAGAGGAAGCACATTCCGGGTTTTGGCTCCTGTTTCTCCCATACCTTGTGGATAATCCGTCCTCCAGTCTTGTTCCACTGCCCATCTACAGAGACTTGGTTAGCTCCGGTCGCCTGCCACCCTCATCAGCACTTTTACTTGGATCTGCAAGTATGCGAGACCTTTGGGTTGATTTACTAACCGTATAAACACACCACGAACAAGTATACACCTCTGTAGTGTGTTCCCTCCCAGCATGATCTATGGGAGGAATCGAAACACCTTTGTAGTGTGTACACACCCAGCAGGTGTGTTGTGCATGAATTGCAAGGTGATGTTGTGTAAATTAGCTCTATGTTGTGTTGCTTGCGTTGATGAATGCAGGAATGTAAATGCATGAGCTAACCATTTTTGTCTAAACGGTGAAGCCGCATTATATATGCATCATGTGCATGATTTTTCATATATGGCATTAGTGGAAATATGCTTATAGAGACTTTTTGGTTGATAAATACGCTTTGCTGTGTAAAAATCACACGCACCTGGTGCGTGCGTGTGTTTAGGTTAGTAAATCAGCCCCCTTGTCTCACTTTGGGCCTTTTTGTTCTGCAACATGTCTTTGCAATGAGGACAGTTCCGCTGCTACGGGTGACCTCAGCCCATACTCTATTTTTGATAAGGGTGATTTCTCCGTTTTCCCAGAAAGGACCGTTGCCTATAGGGCCATCCTCTCGGCTCACCAGCACGAGGCTGGGACCTCACACCCACTAGACCATAATTATCCACTTTGGATTTTATAGGTTATGTGATGGCTGTCACAACCACCTTCTGGCTGTAATCAGGAAGGACTCCTTTTCCTTCTGCTTCCATTGTCCTTGTTTGCCTATCGGCACTACAATCATCCTCACCCCTGCCTACCCTTTAATACAGGTGTTGTTGATGACCTAACCCTCTCCTATTAAAGGATTCAAGGTTACTAATCCCTTTTGTAATTTAGGATGTCCTGCTCAGAGGACCCTAATATCCATATTTGTCTCTTTCAGAGATTACTTTCCTCTCCGATGAAATCTTTCATATTTGGACCTCCCTCTCTCTGAAGTCCAAGGGTTAACCGTGTTTTACTTAAGCCTCCAGCTTTTAACTGGTTGGTCTTTTCTGTGGACATGTCTTGTCTCCCTGAGTTGCCTTTCCCTGAATTCAACGGTTAGGTATGCTAGGCTTAGGTCTTTATTTTACCTACTAACCTTCCATTTTGTTGACCACCTTATCTGTTGATCTAAGTCAGGGGTGTCATTTCATTGCGGGCTGCATCAGCATTATGGTTGCCCTCAATGGGCCGGTTGTATCTGTAAGACTATATAAATCTATCTACTCTATCATATTAAATAATTGCCTCTGCATTCGATTATTACTGGTTTTAGTAATAACGTAATAAGCTCTGAAGTAGAAGTCTAGGAAAAATAATGGCAATTAGTGTAATAGTGCGGAATCTCAGGTGGCTGTGCAGGTTCTATGGTGAGCTGTGCAGACTCTCTGGTGGGCTATGTGGACTCTCTGGTGGTTCTGCAGGTTCTATGGTGGGCTGTGCAGACTCTCTGGTGGGCTATGTGGACTCTCTGGTGGCTGTGCAGGTTCTATGGTGGGCTGTGCGGACACAGGTGGGCTGTGTGAGGTCTATGGTGGGCAGTGCAGGGTCTATGCTGGGCTATGCGGTCTCACCAGGAGTCCCGGTCAGTCTTGGCAGGTGCCAACAGCGTAGATCCACAGGAAGGAGGAGATTAGCTGCCAGTGCTGTAAACAGGCGCTGCGATTCACAGGAAGGCTGCCAGGACCTTGCTGGGGACCTCAAAAGCCTTCCTGTAAAGCCCAGCGCCAGTTTATAACGCCAGCTTTGCTTTAAAAATGTAACGCTGCAGGAGAGTTGTGAGGGCCACATAAAATGGCCTGGCAGGCCGGATTCGGCCCATGGGCCTTGTGTTTGACGCATGTGGTCCAAGTTCTTCTCCTGTTTAAGTTGTTGTTCCACCTGTTTTTGTCCTTAACACGACGATTGGTTGTCCTCCACTTTCCTCATGAGGCCCACTGCTCCTACATGTTGTTGGTTCCTCTGTGTGTCATTTCCTTGGTGCTGTGGCCATCTCCATATTTGCTGGACTCTTCTCCATTAAATCTTTCCTCAGACTTCTCTTACGCTTAAAGTAAAATTCCATATTTTCTAAGATTTTAGTGGCTTTTGGAACTAGCCTGATTCCCTCAATGAATGACAATGAAGATAAGATTTTTGTACTTTTCTTGCGGTCCATTGAGAGAAACAGGTCCCACCCTCTGCGTTATTGGAGCTTAAGTACTGCTTTATAAAAAAAACAGGGTTACGGCAGCTGGTAGCAGGGTTATGTGGGGGATGACTTACAGGGTTATTCACAAAAATGTGGAGAGTTAAGAGAAGGCAGGAGAAGTGGTTCTCTAGTGGGATCTAAGTAGGGATGCACCGAAACATTTCGGCCAAAAATAGCACTTTTGGTAAATTGAGGAAAGTACCATGATGGCTGAAAATGTGGCTGAAAATTCAGTGTATCCCTAGCTTCTCTCATCCCCACTGGGAGCCGGTCCGTGTGCCGTCTGATGCAGTGGCTGACGCCCAGCAGGGAGAAAAACTTTCAGGAGGCAGAGTGGGCGGTGACAGCTGTCAGGATGCCGAGTAGTGCGGGCCGTTGACAGCGGTCATCGTTACAAGAGGTGGAGCTCTCCTCCTGCCTCCTGTGTCAGTAGGATGGCAAGCGGTATACAAACACACCGCAATCGCATGATTGATGAGGGTTTGTAAATAAGTGGACAAAGTGTGATTACTATGTCCCAGTTATGAATGAATGGGAAGTGCTCTACTCTACATCACTTCCTGTGCATTCATGATTGTGGACATGGTAACTTACACTATATCCACAATGTATGAATGTATAGAGGATATCTGTTCACAACGGGCTGCAGAAAAAGATTTAGGACTCTGTTTAGACCCCTGATCGTTTCCTAGAGCCCTCAGAAGTGAAGTGAAAAATTAATAAAAAATCAAATGATTAAAAAATAATTTTTAAAAGTTGGAGAAAAAAGTCATTTTTGGGCCTGACATTTTTTTATTTTCAGTTTCGGTCTCAAAATTCCATTTCGGTGCATCCCTACTTCTAAGATTAAAAAAAAAAATCTCCCTGTCCCCACTGAAGACATTTTCGGGAACTGTGCCACAATCATAGGAGATTTAACCATTCCCTAAGTTGGCCAAAACTGAGCTGGAGTTCCATTTCCAGAGCTGCAAAGGTGGACCAATGATCTATCCACAGTAAAGACACGCATACGCCTGCCTGAACCACAGAAATGCCTTTACAATGGCTACCCATGAGTCACTATCAACCCACTAACCACAAACTAAAACACCCGATCTACACCTATTGGCCTCTAAGGGTAGATGGACGGTAGTTTATCAGCTGATTGGCATGTGTAGCTATTAAACGTTCTCAGGAAATGTGCCTCCTGAACCTTATGGTCATCCTGTGTACCTACATATTGAGAATCCGTTAGTCAACTGCAGCAAAAATGAGACCTGTATAATTATGAACTATTCCGTCAGCCCTGAGCCAAGTAAGCCAAACGGTGCTTACCATAACCGCATACGGCTTCATGTGCCAAGCCAGAATGTTAGTATTATCAATGATAATAGGAGTCCTTCCCCTGGTCATTGCCTTGCGTGCTGTTGAGAGAAAAGCTTTGGGTAGTTCCCAGTTACAGCAACATACAAGTCCTTAACAAAGCAAAAATAGTTATTGTATTGTACACATTATACACACGTACAACTACTTCCTGTTACACAATATGAACTCTTGAATTCAAGTTGGAGCAAATAATAAGATGTCGCTTTTTATTCTCTGCTCTGTTTTAGAAAAATGGCAGCCGGAAACTTGTTGCGATGATCCATGCATTCAGTTATTAGACGTTCGTCTCTTCATTTCATGTGATCACAGATTTAATCTGCATTCCTATATGCTGGGGAAGCCTGGAATTGGGGGTGACCCAAAGAACCCTTTTGCTAACCCAGAAAAGTAAGCAGTTAAAGGGTTTCTAAACCCTCCAGTTTTTTCCATATATCTATTGGCAGCAAGCAGTAGATATATGTAAAAAGTTTAAAAAAAAGCGGTTTAAACTTACCCTGTCTTCCCGCACGCTCCCGTCTGAGAATCCGAAACTGCTCGGGCGGCCGCAAAAGCATCTTGGGGCGGGCGCGTGCGCAGTTTGGATTTTCAGCCGGGAGACGAGGAGAGACACAAGGTAAGTATATGGACAGCGTGCACCCGCATGCAGACACCGTGGGACAGGAAGTGCCAGCAAGGACAGAGGAGTCAGCGCTGGATCGGAGAGCCGCCGCACCGCTGGAGGGACAGATGAAAACATCAGGAAAGAAGATCGGATTAAGAGACATCATTTAAGGTAAGTGTTTTCATTAACATTGGGGGGAGGGGGGAAAAAATTATCCTTTAATGTCACTTTAAGGAAATCTGGCTTTTTAATTTAAAGCCTGAAATTAGTATCTTGCGTGGAGTTATAACGCTCAGTATTAGCAAAAGTCAGCCAATGAACATTTGGGATTAAGACTAGGGCTGCACCCAACTAATCGATAATGAGAATAGTTGTCAACTATTCTCATTATCGATTAGTTGGTTGGATCTCCTAGCTTTCTCCACATTGGGAGGAGGGCACTGCAGGCAATGGGCGGGTGCAATAGCCAGCCTGCTATTGGCTATTGCAATTTGAAATGGCCAATAGCAGGCTGGCTATTGCACCAGCCCACTACCTGCTGTATTTACATTCACTTGCCGCCTGCGGAATCTTGCCACTGGCAGCTGTCATTCCCCCGTGGAAGCTATTCAAGCGCCATGTGCTTACAATACAATAAAAAAATGATAAAAAGGTGGGAAAAAGTCATTTTCGGTTTCGTCCTGACACATTCTGCTGCGGGAGGTGCGTTGCAGTGCCATTCATTTCAATGGCACCCTAAACGCGCCTCCCACCCACAGTGTGATCACTGGAATGCATGGTACTGCAATGCTGTGCGCTCCAGTGCAGTGTGATTGCAAAAAAATTGTGCATGCAGTTTTATTCTGAAGTAAACTTTGTAACACGGCATTTGTGTATTCTTTTTAAATTAAGGATGGTGTTTTATTTCATTTTCTTTTATCCGATTAATCGAAAGAATGATTGGCCAACTAATCGATTATGAAAATAATGATTAGTTGCAGCCCTAATTAAGACCTCTTCCTCCCTTATCAACTTCCTAAGATTCCATATCCCTGAAGTTCTAAGGAATGATTGGGCTAGAGAACCATCCCCTCTGATACATGGATGTCAATGAATGAGACACGGTGTGTTTGGAATGCTGACAAGGTATGTTCACTCATTATTGTTGAATATCCAGGTCACCTTGTTGCTAAGACTGGGGCTAGTCATTATCTTTGCAGCCTATATCTGTGCTTTGTAGTTACAGAATGTTCCCAAATAACAGAAGTATGTTGTATTATGTGATCCAAGATATTTCTTAATTTGATATTTTCTGCTCACAGACGTATGGAAGGGGTTCGTCTCCCACAAGTCTCAGACTTGCTTTCTCACGTCTATGAGAACAATTGTCTTCGTGCTGCCGGCTATAGGCAATAAAAGTTGCTAAAGACACTTATGTAGAAACGTTTTCACCCAAGATTCACACTAATTCAATTCAATCGGAAAAATGTTTTGAAATTTGTGTGAAAACATTTACAAAGATGATTGTCCATAACCCATCGCAGCCGTGAGCGATAAGGCTGACCATCGGAGGGCACGGCTCACATCCAGAACATACAAGAAAGAAAGAAGTCACCGGCACTCCTGGACAGTCTTTACCGATGTTTGGCCATGGTAGCACAATTGTGATTTTTGTGATACCAACTCCAGACGTCAATTAAGACGTTTTAACATCTACAAGGAGACCCTTCAGAAAACTGCAAGCAGGAAGGCTTTTTTATTGCAGAAAAGACACTTGGGGGAATTTATCTAAACTAGAGCAGACAAAATCTGGAGCCGATTCACACTGCAGCCAATCAGCTTCCCTCTTTCATCTCAAATCTCAACTGAGCAAACTGAAGAGAGATGCTGATTGGCTGCCATGCAGAGCTGCTCCAGATTCTGTCTGCTCCAGTTATGATACATTCCCCTCCCTATGTCCTCATCTGCAATAAGAGCTTCTTAGCCTTCCTACTTGCAAACTTCACAATGTACACTGGGCTGGGCACGCACAACGCTGGGTACATACTTGGCATGCCTTGGTGTCTGGATAAATTATGTCCCATGAGCAGGAGTTACATCATCCTAATTTAGGGACCCCCCCCCCCC